TTGAGTGTGCAATTTCACTAACGCTGCTGCTCCATTGTCTCTTCCCTCCCGCCCCTAGGGAACTTGAAGAATCCACCTTCAGAGCTCACACTAAGGTGGATCGCCGAATCTTGGGTGGACGCGCCAGAGTAGCTCGTTAGGAAGGCATTCCTGACTTGCTGGATTTTTTCCGCAATGGACGGTTAAGAGGACACACTCATCCTGGCATATACTTGCTGGATTTTTTCCGCAATGGACGGTTAAGAGGACACACTCATCCTGGCATATCTCCAGGACAAGGCAGATGTTGAAGTCTTGGAGGACGTCCTGGATGAGAGTGAGGACTAGGTTCAGATTAACCCCTTCTATAAGAACCTGGAGAAGGTCGCAGCACAACAGAATTAGGTGGATGAGGCGGAGTGAGAGCTAAATGCGAACACCTGCCTGATTGATGAAGAAGAAGCAGAAGCGGACGCTGCTAAAGCCGCAGAGGATGACGCTGAAAAGGGAGCCACTGCTATAGGCGGTGGTGCTCAGTGGAGTGATGCAGAAGACGAGTGGTGAGCTCCTAACCCAGGATTCGAGTTAGACAAGTTGGAGGAATTTGAGTTTTAGGATTCGACCCAGGATTTGAGTTAGACAAGTGCTTAGATTCATGATTGTAGATGCTGGTAGCTAGGTTAAAATGCTTGCAATAGTTATCGTACCGTCTGGCCCCGGATAGTAGCGCATATGCACTTATAATAAAATCTCGTATTTTTTGGGGTGCGCTTATAATCGAGTAACGGCCATAAGCGCCGGCGCCTTTATAATGGCAAAAATGAAATTTGTTTGTAAGGGTACCAAAATGAAGCCAGCAATAAGGCGAACATAACTATGTGCCATTCACGTGGGATCATGCAAAAAATCTCGGCGAAAATCGCAGCGATTCGATTTCCCACCGCACACTGCACGTCCCGGAACAACGCACCTGCCAGTGCTGACGCAAAACCTGCCGTGCGGCCCAATAGGGTTGTCATTCACTGCCAGGCAGGACCGTTCATCCGAACCCTCTCGAAGGGTGTGGAATATGCCCTGCCAGCACAGCACGTCTGGTGCCATGAACCCTCCTCTGCGGGTTCAGGCAGGGCGGGTTCCCGTCCTTCATTGACGAGGACCCCGAGCCGCTACCCCAAAGGGGTCCCCTCCAATCTTTCTTTCGTTCAGTCGTGCTATCAGTTTTCCATTCAGTTTCTCGTTCTCGTCCGCCTAGCTGCGGAAGCCATGGCGGAATTTACAGGCACGCACTTTCTTTTCAAGAAGAAACCTACCAGTAGGCCCGTATCCCACCATCACCACCAGAGCCACTACAGCCTCCTGCGCCTCCGGCGCCACCTACTCCTCCTGCGCCTCCTGCGCATCCCGCTCCTCCTGCTCCTCCACATGTGGCGTTTCCTCAACCCACGGGCAATCAGCCCGTGCTCACGCTCCTGCTCCCATCGGCTTTCGATGAGTACCGAACCGGACAACGACAAGCTGCCAGATGTGTACGTACCGGCTCTGGCTCCAACACCATGATGGGGCAAGCCCGAAGATTGCACGTGGGACGAATCTGCAGTCGGCGCTGACGACGATGTGGCTGACGACGAGGAGGAAGGTCGTGCCGAGGGCGACAACGGCGCCGAGGCTGCCACGGAGACTGGAACCAAGCCTAGCACCGTGGCCGACGTGTTTCCCGAGGGTGTACCTGGCGACGACGACGACGGCATCGATTACTGGTCTCGCGAGGGGCTCCCCGAGAAACTCCCAATTCCAACTTATCCTCCAGTTAACCACAAACGACCTCACCCTTCTGCTGAGAACCGTGATGCCTGCCCACCCTCTCCCAGGAACAAAGTCAACCAGCATAAGCGTCAAGCTTATACTGCGCAAGAAAAACTGCAGTGGGTCGCGCGGCTGGATGTGGGAGTGTCGGTGCGCTCGTTGTCTCGCGAAAGCGGCATCCACCGAAAGTGTCTCACAGAGTGGACGCGTGTTGCCGACTTCCTCAAGGAAGTTCACTCCGCTTGGAAGCGCATGCACGGCCGCGGAAGGTCTTCTTGGTACCGCCCGATGGAACTGAAGGTGTACAAGAAGCTACTGGAGTGGCGCCGCAAGGGAACTGCCGTCTCCGTCGGCCGTCTGCAGGAGTGGTCGCACGAGTTCATGAAACTGCTCTACCCCCTCGTGAAGTGGAAGGGCAGCCAGCGGTGGTCGGAACGGTTTCGGAAGCGGTGGAATCTGAGCGTTCGAATGAAGACGAGAGTTGCCCACAAAACTGCTGCCCGTAAGCATTAAAATCCTCTGTGTGGTTTATTGCTAAGTGTGTACAAACCCATCGGTTTCCCCCTTTTGTCTCGAGTGTTTCACAGATGTCGCGAAGATGTGCCAAAATTTTTTGCAGTTCGTTCGCGACAAGCGGCGTGAGCGTGGCATCGAGACCACATGGATCATCAATGCTGACCAGACGCCGCTGTGGCTGGAGATGCCCGCCACCACCACAGTGGAACAGACAGGTGTTCGGTCGGTGCCCATCCGGAGTGCGGGGTACCAGAAGGAGCGCGTGACCGTGATGCTGGCGTGCACGGCGGATGGGGAGAAGCTCAAGCCGTGGATGTTTTTCAAGCGGAATACAGTGCCAAAGAGAGATTCCGCCCCCAGTAAGACATGTTGTTGTGCTGATTCTTTGTTTTAAACCACCCTCGAATAACATTCTTGTTTTTTATTGTGCAGATGTCGTGGTGGCTTGCCATGAGAACGGGTGGATGGACGCCGAGGGTGTCATTTGATGGCTGGAGGAGTGCATCAAGCCTTTTCTAAGGCCTCGATTCGGCAGGCAGGCGAGGAGCGCGATGGTGGTCCTCGACTCCTACCGCGGTCACCTCACTGAGGGGGTGAAGGCGAAGTTTGCCGAGCTCAACATCGTGCCGGCGGTGATCCCTGCGGGCTGTACGGCGGAGATTCAGCCCCTCGACGTCTCTATCAACAAGTCGCTCAAGGCCTCCGTCCGTCAGCAGTTCCAGAAGTGGTTTGAGGACGAAGGCCAAGAGGGACTGACAACAGCAGGTAAGTTTAACATATCAACATGTGTGCTTTGCGAATTCCCCCCCCCCCCCCCCCTGTTTTAACTAACGACAATCTCGTGTCTCGTTCTGTTGGTGCATGGAACCTCAAGAAGCTGCCGCCTGTAGTGGTCGTAAAATGGATCTCGCAGGCATCGAAGGTAGTGCCCGCCGACCTCATCAAGCGCGCCTTCCTCACATGTGGCATCAGCAACGCTCTTGATGGCAGCGAGGACTCACTTGCCATGGCGCACAGGCGGAACCAGTTGACTCGTGAAGTCGACGTCGATGATGACATCATTACTGATGGCTTTTTTGGCAACAACTGCCTGGAGCCCGAGCCTTACGAGGAGGAGTAGCTTCTAGGTAGATTGTAGTAGGCTGTAGTTTGACATGAGTAGCTATTGGAAAAGATGAATAATGTTGAAATTATTAGTGTAAAACATCTCTTGTTAGGAGTGGTTAAAGAAAATGTTAAATTCTATACAATCTGAATTAAAAATAGCTAGTATATAACGCATATGCGCTTATAATAAGTTACCACATGTAGGGGGGTGCGCTTCTAATCGAGGATCAGCCATAAATGCCATGCTCCGAATAGAAGCGCCGGCGCATTTAATCAGACGGCGCTTATATCTGGGGCCATACGGTAACTACAAATGCTTGATGTGTGCTCTCGAAATTTCAAAATCGACTCAATCCTGCCATAAAGCCTAACTAATAGGGAAAGAAGGGGGTCTAATAATGTTTTTGGCCCTTGGTGAAGTGTGTAACGTAATAGAGGTCCAATACAGCACCCACCCCCTCATACCATCATACCCCGGATAGAAGCGCCCCTGGGGTTGTAATAAAACACTGTTTTTTAGGGGGTGCGCTTATAATTGAGGAAATTTATAAGCGCCGGCGTCTATAAAATGGCAAAAATGAAATTAAGTTTGTTTTGCACCAAACTGTAGATCTCAGTTTGCCCATTGTAATCGAGTCGAAAATATATGGGGTCGCGAATCTGATTCTCGCGCAGCTTGGCAGGGATTGATTCCCTGCCAACACATGCTGACTAAGTGACAGCACGTGCTGACTAGACGCGAAGCAAGTGAGATGTGAGTGGGAAACTGAAATTGTACTTCGTTTCCCTGCTAAGGTGAAATTCGTTTCTGTACAACGGTACTGATTTTCAAATAAAAATCGACATGCGCTTATAATAAATCATGAATTTTTAGGGGGTGCGCTTATAATCGAGGACCGGATATAAGCGCCCTCATCCTTTTACCGTATAGTTCCGGCTAGAAGACCCGCCGGTAAGAAGGTCTTCCGGGACTCTTGAACGGGTAGGGGGACTCTTATTGTGGCAGATATTGTGAGGACCCCCCCTTAGCCCCCAATTATCATAAGACCCCCCTTTTCTGTATACAGTGGTTATAATTGCTATTGTGCATCAGTTTTTACTGGAACATGTTCAAATTCTGGCACATTTTTTGTGTCAGACTCGAATTCTGACACTTTACTTGTGTCAGACTCGAATTCCGACACAGGTCTGACGGGTCGCTCGCGCGAAATTCGCGCGAATTCGTTACTAATATAAGACCCCCCCACCCGAACTTGAGCTGTACACCCTAAAAAGCAGATTGATAATAGACAAATAGGTGTACCCCGGGTCTTAAAAATTTGCAACCGCCAAGATGTCCACCCTAGCAGTTTTTCAAGCAATTCTAGTGAGTCCCCCGGGTCTCCTAGCCGGAACTATACGGTATAAGCGCCGGCGCTTATCCGAGGCCTGCGCTTCTATCCGGGGTCTTACGGTAAGCTGCTTCTGCATCTGAGGGATTACGGTTTTATAAATATATCTGATGTGCAGATACGGATGATAACGATATTAGTAACGTTTCTCGACATTCACACTTAGCTGTCAAATGGAAACTGTTGTCAATACTAAAACGTATCTTATCCTTCTGCCAAGTTGTCTTCTATGATCTGAAGCTGTTCATCGAAGCTTAACACATTGGCAACAACCTCCTTCTCCTGCACCTGCGCATCCACCTTCACAGCCACGCTCAGCTCCTCTTTCCCCACCACCTCCTCCCGGATGGCCTGCAGCTCGTTGGCGACGTGTGCCATGCTTGGGCGGGTTGCAGTGCGCTCCACGGTGCAGGAGAGGGCGAGCCGAGCCACACGCAGCACAGCATCAGCAGGGGCGTCCATGGTGGGGTGGTTGAGGCTGCCCAAGTCCCCCGAGGAGAGGCAGTCCGACGCCTGAGGGAGAGGAGCGTGCAGGACACATCACAAACAGAGTAAGATGAGCCAAGGCAACAAGAAGGTGTGGATAGATCACCTTTGACTCCATGAAGAAGACGCTACCTAAGCTTTTGTGTAGAAGTGGAATAGTTATTACAGAGTGATCTGCAAGCCCTGAGAAGACTACTAACAGAGTGATCTGCAAGCCCTGAGAAGACTACTAACAGAGTGATCTGCAAGCCCTGAGAAGACTGCTAACAGAGTGATCTGCAAGTCCTGAGAAGACAACTAGCAAAACCAGACGTGCATAAGACGTACCACTGTTCCTTTTTGCTACTCAGACTATGTCATCAAGGAAACCCTGGTCTCATGAATAGGGTGCTTACCCATTTCGTGACCAGCTGACCCTCTCCATCAGCCTCCACAAAAGGTGGGCGTCCCGTAAAGACGACCAGCATGAGCACTCCAAAGCTGAAAAGAAGAGTTCACATGATGATCAACGCACAAGATGCAGAGGAAGAGCCAGAGATGGAGGCTCTTCACATGAATTTTGCCACCTGAATGCTCATGTTCATGGATGGACTGTACACACATAGCACTTGCAGCCTCCTCAAAGGGACTTTGAAGGGGCTCCTGCAGTGCTTTATAACGACTCATGCAATGCTTGTAAGAAACAATTGCTATGATTTTTAACGGTTTCCTGAAATGTTTTCTAAGGAGCTTGTACAATGCATATTGAAGGAACTTCCGCAATGCTTTCCAAGGGTCTACTGGAATGCTTTCAAAAGATTACATGCAATGATTTCCAAGGGCCTTTGCAATGCTTTCTAAGAGCCTCCTGCTGGGATTTCTAGTGACACCTGCAACGCTTTCTAAGGGGCTCCTGCAAAGCTTTCTAAGAGTTTCCTGCAATGCTCTCTAAGGTCTGCTGCAATGATTTCAAAGGGACTACAGTGCTTGTTTTAAAGGACTATTGCAATGCTTTCCAAGGTACTCCTGCAATGACTTTTAAATGACTCATGCGATGGTTTGCAAGGGGCTCTTGCATTGCTTTCTAAGGCACCCTTGCAAGGCGTTCTAAGGGTATCCTGCAATGTTTCTTGAAGGGCTCTTGCATTGCTTTCTAAGGGTTTCTCGCAATGATATAAGGGTTTCTAACAATGATCTAAGGGTTTCTCGCAATGATCTAAGGGTTTCTCGCAATGATCTAAGGGTTTCTCGCAATGATCTAAGGGTTTCTCACAATGATCTAAGGGTTTCTCGCAATGATCTAAGGGTTTCTCGCAATGATCTAAGGGTTTCTCGCAATGATCTAAGGGTTTCTCGCAATGATCTAAGGGTTTCTCACAATGATCTAAGGGTCTCGCAATGATCTAAGGGTTTCTCGCAATGATCTAAGGGTTTCTCGCAATGATCTAAGGGTTTCTCGCAATGATCTAAGGGTTTCTCGCAATGATCTAAGGGTTCCTCGCAATGGTCTAAGGGTTTCTCGCAATGATCTAAGGGTTTCTCGCAATGATCTAAGGGTTTCTCACAATGATCTAAGGGTTTCTCGCAATGATCTAAGGGTTTCTCGCAATGATCTAAGGGTTTCTCGCAATGATCTAAGGGTTTCTCGCAATGATCTAAGGGTTTCTCACAATGATCTAAGGGTTTCTCGCAATGATCTAAGGGTTTCTCGCAATGATCTAAGGGTTTCTCGCAATGATCTAAGGGTTTCTCGCAATGATCTAAGGGTTTCTCGCAATGATCTAAGGGTTCCTCGCAATGGTCTAAGGGTTTCTCGCAATGATCTAAGGGTTTCTCGCAATGATCTAAGGGTTTCCAGACTCACCTGCACACATCCGTGCCCCACCTGTACACATCGCTGGCAGTGGTGGCCTTGCACGTGGTGAAGTAGGCAGGATCCACATAGCCCGGTGTGCCCATGACACGCGTCGTGCTTACTGAAGTGCCCTTCTCCATCCTCACCAGCCCAAAGTCTGCAATCTTTGCCTGGTGGCTCAGATGAGTGGCATTGCAGCATGAGAGATTTATCAGTCGTGCCCTCCCCCATCCTCACCAGCCCAAAGTCTGCAATCTTTGCCTGGTGATTTTTATAAGAGACATTGTAGCATGAGGGATGAAGAACAGAGCATGACAAATGGTTGCGTGTCCACAACAGAAAGAACATGGCTTCGTGCTCGGGGCAAACATGAAGGTTTACACCCCCCAGAAACACCATTTTTTTTTGCAAGTGTTCGAGACGAACCAAACATGTTCGGTTCGGGTGACATGTTCGACCCTGGGCGAACACGAACATGTTCGTTCACCTCTTGCTCATACGTACTTGTAACCTCTTGAACACATGAACACTTTATTCTGAAAAGAATCGTTCGTGGCAAAGCTGAATTCGAATGCGTTCAGTTCGCTTAAGGTAAGTGTTCGTTTGGGTTCGAGGCAAGCACGCTTCATTTTGGCTTTTGCTCATGTCCACTTTGCCATGCCACTCAGGATTCAGTCAAGTTATCACAAATGACATTATTAGGTACTTTATCCAGACTCGAATGGATATGACGACAAAATCTTAAACAGCTCTCCCTCCGCCAAGGAAATTATTCTGGTATGAGATCGATCTACCGCAACCGAGCTTGCCTGCATGTCGTCGGTGATGAGGACGTTGCCGGGATTGATGTCGCGATGCACGATGCCAAAGCTGTGCAGGTACTCCAAGCCCCGTGCCAAGCCGATGAGAATGTCCAGCCGCTGCTTGAGAGTGAGAGGGCGTTCAGCATCTGCAAGGAGTAAAGAAAGTGGCGGCATGAGTGGCAGCATGAGTGGCAGCATGAGTGGCGGCATGAGTGGCGGCATGAGTGGCACAGCATATGAGTGGCAGAGGTCCAGAGGATGAGTGGCAGCGGATGAGTGGCAGCGGGCAGGCTACATCTCAAGGATGTGCAGATCAGCAAATGTGTGACGTAGCGTATGAGTGGTAAGCTGATTCACAGTCAAAGGGGCACACTTCCTGTGCAAGGATGCACAGCATATGTGGTACAGCACATGAGAGGCACAGCAAATGAGCGAATCGCATATGAGTGGCACAGAACGAATGGCACAGCATATGACAGGCACATCACAAAACCTGTGAGCCACAAAAAGAGATCACTCTGGAGTGGAGTGACACACTTACTTGGATCAATCCATTCGCGAAGGTCGCCATTGGGCACGTATTCATAGACGAGAACTTGCTCTGGCCGTGACCTCAGGTCTCCTCCGATTGCAAAGCCAAGAAGCCTCACAATGTTGGGATGGTTCTTGTCGGCCATCTGCTGGATCTGATCCACACAGAAAAAGGAACAACAAACAATTAGTCAAGCAGGGATGCCAAGGCAGAGCGAAAAAGGAAAGACACAATCAATAAGTAGAACCACAAAATGCACTAAAAAATAACCGATGCATTTTGAATGGCTCACCACGGATCACTGACCTCCATATCTGCGCTCCACTAACCTCCCTTTGGAAGTCCACGTCGATCAGCCTGGCTCGCTTCACAGCCCATAAGGTGGTGCCATCGCGGGGAGACACGCCCTTGTACACATCGCCAAAGGCACCCGAGCCCAGCCGGTTGTCTTTTGACCAGTCATTGGTGGCCTTGACGATCTCTTCTATTGAGAACTCTGTGGACAGCGAGGCTGCCAGGCTGCCACCCGCACCTGCTCAGGGTGCCAGGGGTAAAAGGAGGCACATGAGACCAGCTGGTGGTCGGGGGACCAGTCATTGGTGGCCTTGACGACTTCTGCCAGCGAGAACTACGTGCAGTGCGAGGCTGCCAGACTGCCGCCAGTGCCTGCTCGTGGTGTCAGAGGTGAAAGAATGGCAGACGGGTGCAGGGAAGCAGGCTTGAGCACGAGTTGGGATGAGAAGCGTTCAGGTGAGTCGGGTCGACCTCAGTCGAACCATGTGTGAGTCGAATCGGGTCAGAGCCGTAAGCTAGGGTGTACATCCACTAGGGTACATTCACAAGTTACGGAGGCATATTATGTGGCCGAAGTAAATGTGTATGCCAAGTCACACTACTTGTGGCGAGTCAATCGATCTCTCTCAATGCAAGGCTAGGGACTTGAATGGTCGATCTCATCTCGACTTTGGTTGTCGAGCATGACTAGTCCTGCCGACCTGCATGGTCATGTCAAAGCTTTATGCAGTGAAATCCTTGTTCCCCACTTAATGCCATGTTGCAAACAGCCACACACAACGCCATCAACAGAGTCTGGTTAAGCAGCGCTTACGCTTTCTGTACTGGATGTAAAGTAGAGCGGCGGCAAGAAGCAGGAGAATGACCACAGCAGCAACAACGATGCCAATGATGACTCCCACTGACACTCCACCTCCACCTCCTGCTGAAGAAGACTCGCTGCTGCTGCTGGTGCTGGTGATGCTGCTGCTGCTGCCTCTGCTGATTTCTGAGAATGACAGGAGCATAGGTCCGTGTACACAGTGGGGATCGCTGCAAGCTGATCACTAACAGAGTTAGAAAGCGACAGGTTTCATTTTAAACATGTCTTGTGCCGTGCAAAGCCATGCATTTCCATGCGCTACCATGCATTCCCATGCGCTGCCATGCATCACTTGCTACACCGAGATAGAATTTGTTTACACAATCATATATCTCTCGCACAACACTCTCAACTCCAAAACGCATAGCACCACGCATCAGGTCGTGTCTCATTGCGTTCCACTTTGAAATCATATTTGGCTGGTGTTTATTTACTCGCCTGTGGATTGGTTGGTGCAAGTATTGCAGAAGGGTGTACACGTGCGGCAAAAGGATGTGGTAGGAGATTGTTTTACGCCACAGGCAGAGCCGTCAGGTGGGCATGTGAGGTTGGTGCGAGAGATGTTGCTGCAGTGGAAAAAGGGAGATGAAAAGGCGGAAATCCTGGGCACAGCTGCACAGACATGCATTTCAAGTTCAACCGAAATAGTGGTAGGCTATTTCGGGTAGGCACCCCGGCAAAACCTGCAAATCGCTGTAACTCTTGCAACAGTGCTCTCCTTGAGCCAACCATGAGCTGTCATTGCAGCATTAGATCACCCTCTCTCACACTATTTACAAGCTCATTTCAAATCCGCTACTAGCCCAGCCCAAACCTTTTCGAAAGTTCCAGGTCCGATTCGGATTCAGTGCTTGCTCAAGGGTACTCACAAGTTACACGTCTGGCTCGAGCAGGTACTTGCTCACTCAAACCTACCCTACTCACAAGTACTTCAACTTTGTGAGGACTCCAATCTCAGCCAGTATCTCCCCGCTGAGATTATTAGCAAAGAGGTTTCTGGTCACATGGGTTGGACGGAAAGTGTGGGAGTAAGCCCTGTTAGCCTCATGCACGCAGGAACAGAGCGACATGCATCCACCCATCCACATGAAGGCATGCATCCTTTTTACGAGACTATCAAGGGCATGTTGGTACAATGGGATGGGGAAAAAAAGCTAAAGAGGCAACATATAGAGAAACGATGCATGTACGGCACGGCAGCAAATAAAAGGAGCAGTTCACCATTGAACTGGTCACAGCACCAGCGTGCATCCACCATAAGTGACTAGAGATGGCAGGTTGGTACAATAGGATGGAGAAAATATTCAAACCCTAAACTATAAGGTGCAGTGCACCTTTCATGTGGTCACAGGTCACAGCACATCCCAGCATACTTTGGAACCGCAAATGGGTGAGAAGAAGCAGCAACGATGGAAGTGAGCCGCAGTGCGGCCTTGGTACATAAAGAGGGCCGTGCGGCCTTGGGCTGGCACATAGAACAACGATTCTTAGTGAGCTTCGTACAGATAGGTGAGGCCATCAAGAAAGGCGAAGTTGCTGAACATGGGGCCACTCAGGGAATTGGATGAGAGATCCCTGTGAAGAGAAATGAAAAGATGTGCATTGTGTGTTGTGGGCTGGAAGAAATGAAGAAATACACCCATCAGGAGTGCTAGAGGCAGGCATGGGGGACAGTCTGGAAGCACATGCAAGTGACAGAAGGGAGTGTGACGAGTCACGATTCCAACAGCTGGGGAGCCTTGTTGAGAGCAAAGGTGAGGAGAGCGAGCAGAGTTGAACTGTGAGCAAAGGGAAGAAGCATTAGTAGTTGAAAAGAGGGAGGGTGGAGGGGGAAAGACAGGGAAATGGAAATAGCTGCTGAAAGGCAGGGCAAAGTTAAGTCTAGGGAGCACGGTGGTTGAGAGGAGAATGGGATCTGGGAAGATCTGGGAAGTTTGTACACAGATGGCGGTGCACATGGATGGATGGCTGAAGAACACACGAGTTGTGAGTTTTCAGATTGAATGAACACGGCAACGTAGTGATAATAATGATGTACAGTACAGCCTCTTAGTCGGTTCTCTTAGTGCTGTCAACAAGCCAACGGTAGTAGTTGGGATAGCCAAGCACTGAAGTCATGATACTTACAGGTTCACCAGGTTTACCAAGCGGGTGAGAGAGGATGGAATAGATCCAACCAAGCGATTCCCATGAATACGTCTGATCGACCATGAAAAGCAGTTTATGCAAGATGAAGGAGAGGGAGATGACGTGGGGGGAGAGCAAGACGACCTAATGCTGGCTGGCCACTGGCTTCAGTGAAGTTCATTTCCTCACTATAGAGAACCAATCATCGATCGCATCAGAAGTTACAGAGAATGTCACATGGGGGCTGTGGCCGGCGATGCAAGCAGCACAAAGCGAACGATTCCGTTTCTTAGCAGCATAAGTTCGCCCAACAAGAGGCGAAGTTTTGCAGGCCTTATGGACACATGGAACCAGCTCTCGAATTTCGCCTTGCCCCGAGGCGCGCGACTAGCTCGAGCTGGTGTGCGCCAGTGTAGTGCACCTCGTAACTTTTGCACCAGGGCTAACCCAGGTGCTGCACACAGAAAAACGAGCAAAATAATTTAGACGACGATGCTTTGTTTAGGAGATACCTGTGTGCCGGGGTGCACAAGAGGTACAAAGCTTTGCCAAAATAAATATATTTTAGGCAAATTTTTCGTTGTCGGAAATTCTCGCCGATAAATTTTGTTAGAGAAAACAAATACAGAACGAATACAAATCGATGGCGACAACTCTTTCTGGATACCAATAACATATCACACATAATGAATGATGAGACGGAAAAATCTGAGCAATCCTAGTGAAACGGTGATGAATCATGTCATGTGCCTTCACGAAAGTACCCAATCAGAGCAACGTCATGTTGAACAGGCTCAAAACCGTTTCTCTTTTCCGTTTTCTTCTGAGGCGTAACAAAGTTTGCCTGAAGCTTTTCAGAAATATATATATATATATATAACATATAAATGTAAATATACATATATATGTAAATAAATATATAACATATACATATATATGTATACATGTATATTATGACCGAAAGTCTTGGAGCGAAACTTTTTCTGCCCAGAATTTCCAACCTTTGCCGAACCAGGTCAAACTTGGCTCCTTGTCAGACCAAACCAGGTCGGTTCCCGGTTGAACCAGAATGGGTGGGGTTTGGGTTCGAAGTTTGACCTCGAACCTTCTAGGGCTCGAGTCAAACTAACAGTGGTTTGGTTCGACTCGGTGTGAAACAAGCAATTCACACTAGTTTTTGGTTTGACGCGGTTTGGCACTCATAGTAAAAAAGAACTGAACGGTTGGGCCCAAACATGTACAGGTTCGAGTCAAACCCTTTTAAAGATAAACGAAATGCAGTTCCGAACATTGCACAAACCTACCTAAGTCAGTGTGTGCCGTGGGTTGGCGCGGAGGAAGTGAGGTCATGGATGGAAGGACAGCAAGCGCACATGATCGACCCAATTGAGGGACGAGACCATCATGGTGAGAGGCAGCATAAGTAAAAAACCTAATCTCACTTCGGTTGGAGGCAAACAGCTTTGTGTTCGACTCTGATTGGCCGAACAGGTTCAAGTCGCAAGCGTAGTTCGTCGAGTTTGTGGTTCTTGAAGAGCCCCGGCCTGTGATGGGCGAAATATCTAGGCTGGATTGGCACCCAACTGTGTGACCATCTGCTTTATTATTTCTTAGAAATCCTAGTTGGTCTTGCTTGCATGTGGCATCTTAGAGTTGACATGAACTTTGATCATGTTTAGGTTTATACGAGATGCTTCATTCCATACAGATTAACGGGCTGCGGAAGCATGGAGATGCTGTTGGGGATGGAGCCAGTCAAATTGTTGTCTGAAAGAAACCTGTGTGTGTGTGGTGTGGGTTGGGGTGGAGGAAGTGAAGAGATGAAAAGAGTGGGCATGGACTAAGGGACAGTAAGAACACAGTCTACCCAGTTTGAGGATCAGTCAAGCATGGGAGGAGGCAGGTATTAGTAGAACCTAATCACAGTTCTGTTCAAGGCAAATCGATTCATACTCGACTTGAATTAGCTGAATTGGTTCGAGTCACACACCCAGTTGTACGTGTTTGGTTGTGTCGAACACACCCAGTTGTACGTGTTTGGTTGTGTCGAACACACCCAGTTGTACGTGTTTGGTTGTGTCGAACACACCCAGTTGTAGACATGAGCAACGCACGAATCCGAACACGTTTGAGTCGAACCTTTCCGAACACCTTGAAATTTCGAACCGAACGTGTTCGGTTCGTTCGAACACTTTCCAGGAAAGTAGTGTTCGAGTGTTCGCAGTCAGAGGCGAACACTTAGATGTTCGAGGGAATATCTAAGTGTTCGTGGCGAACTCGAACGCGTTCGAGTTCGCCCATAAACTTCCCACTATGACGACATATTCTGCCTTGGTCTGGTGCCATCCCCTCTTGCCCACCACCCTCCCACTAAGGCGGAATGTATGTTCGGAGGCGGGGATGTTGTGGAAGAGCGCCCCAGGACCATGCACCTCTCGGGGATTGCCCACCAGGGCGTCGCCACCAACGCCCAACCCTGACGGCCCTGGCTGTCCGTCGTTTCCCCATCCTGTACTGGTACCATTAGTCCCTTCCATGCCCTTTAGATCTCGTTTCTAAACAAGGTTATTCTCAGGAAATGACGGTGGGTTAACGTACGTGGGCGACTGCCTTGTAACCACAGGCAAAAGTCTTACCGGACCACCAATAACGGTACCCCGCGTTTACACTATTATAGATCTGGAAATTACGGGCATTTCATGGCGGAAATGCCTAAGAACCCTGCAATGTACTCGATTTTGGCAAATGTTTGCGTTTGCCAGGTGCCTAAGCCATGTCTTAAAGGCAGGGTCTCAAGTGACCAAGTGCTTTGCAGTCGATGAAAAACGGGCCTGTCTGATTGGTGTACAAATTTTTGGCCAAAGTTTTGACAAGTCGAGACTCTCCAAAGAGCCCACTTTTCACCCAAGTGCTTTGCACTTGCACGGCCAACCCTTACATGAGACCCTGGCTTTAACTAAAGGCAAGTGATTGAACTCGAAATGTGCTCAATCTCAGATCCACGCAACCCTAAATTTGAAACCAGTGCGGCCAATGTCGCGCTGGTTTTAATCGCGAACAGAACGCTTTGATGTTCACGAAAGTGAAATTCGAACTCGAACCTGTTCGACTTCGAGGCGGGGCTGTAAAAATAGGCCTGCGAACTCGAACATGTTCGAGTCGAACTCGAACATGTTCGTTCGAACATTTTTGGCCAAAAAAAAAAGCATGTTCGGTTCGACTCGAACGTGTTCGAGTCGAACCGAACAGGCGTTCCAAAATTTGCTCATGTCTACCCAGTTGTACGTGTTTGGCGGTGTCGAACACACCCAGTTCTGCGTGTTTGGCTGTGTCGAACACACCCAGTTCTACGTGTTGGGCTGTGTCGAACACACCCAGTTCTACGTGTTTGGTTGTGTTGAACACACCTAGTTGTACGTGTTTGGCTGTGTCGAACACACCCAGTTGTATGACTTTGGTTGTGTCGAACACACCCAAGTTGTACGTGTTTGGCTGTGTCGAACACACCCAGTTGTACGTGTTTGGCTGTGTCGAACACACCCAGTTGTACGTGTTTGGTTGTGTCGAACACACCCAGTTGTACGTGTTTGGTTGTGTCGAACACACCCAGTTGTACGTGTTTGGCTGTGTCGAACACACCCAGTTCTACGTGTTTGGTTGTGTTGAACACACCCAGTTGTACGACTTTGGCTGTGTCGAACACACCCCAGTTGTACGTGTTTGGCTGTGTCGAACACACCCAGTTCTGCGTGTTTGTGTTAGAATTAGGCTGTCAACACTTTGTGTACTATATTCTATATCGCGTAGGCTATTTGTGGGTTGGGTGTAGTTTGTAATCCCAACCCTATCTGGTTGGGATTCCCTCGTAATCCTGCAAATCTGCCAACTCACCAATTGGAGATTTGCTGGGATTCCCATCCCATCCTTTCCCTAGCCTTGCCCAACCCAACCTCGTTTGTACTTAAGGCCTAGTGCCTTCTTTACTAATCAATCAGTTGAGCTTCGTTTCTTTCAGTTTGGCTGTGTCGAACACACCCAGTTCTACGTGTTTGGGTCGAACGAGTCGAACTCGTCCTGGGAAGGGGAGGGCCAGGAGGAGGAGTTGCGGGAGATTCAGACTTGGCTTGGCTTCCATATGTTTTATCATGTATGAATTTCACTACCCAGGAACCCTTGCTTTCTTGCATGTGCATGACATCCAAGTTATGCAACCTTGGACGTACCCACAAGGTTTTTAGGGATCATGCCATCTTTTATCATGTTTCTGCTTATCACCAGGCTGAAACGAGGTGGTTCGTACAGAAAGGTGACCTGGGAAAGCTCGGAGATGCTGTTGGGAATGGAGCCATTCAAATTGTTCTTTGACAGGGACCTGCGTGTGTGTGTGGTAAGGGTTGGGGTGGAAGAAGTGAGGAGATGAGTATAGTGGGCATGGACTGTGGGATGAGATGGGCAAACATGCGGCAACCACGAGCGAGAACCGAATCGCACTTTGTGTCGAGGCGAACCAGATGACGTTCGACTCGAAATGACCAAAACGGGTTGAACCACCCAGGATGACCCTTAAAGGAGGTGCTTCATACAAATAAGTGAGCTGAGGAAGCGTAAATATGCTACTGGGAATGTAGCCCGTCAAAACGTTGTTTGAAAGAGACCTGTGTGTGCGTGGTATGGGTTGGAGTGGAATAAGAGATGATAACATGAGAATAGAGCAAGGTTCAAAAATACGGTTTTCGTATTTAACGGTCCATTTTTTACGGTAATTCCAAAAAAAAAATGTGTTTTCTTGTTAGAGAACTATTGTCGCCAAGAAAAAAAAGGGAAAAACAAGGTCGTATACATTTCAATCAGTGGCAAGTCTAACTAATCAGTGGCAAAATGCAGGTCCAAACTAGGAGAGCAGGTCCACACAAGGAGAACAGGTCTACACAAGGAGAGCAGGTCCACACAAGGAGAACAGGCAAACCGATCCGCACAGCAACATTCAGATCCCCGACCACGGCAGGTCGGGTCGGGTCGGGTCGGGCCAGATGCTCATGCCTACAAACAGCGCGGCCAATCCCGCTCTGGTTTCTACACGAACAAATTCATGTTTGTGTAACACAAAAACAGCATCGAACATGTTCGGCAAACAGAATATGTTCGGCAAACAGAACATGCTCGGCAAACAGAACATGCTCAGCAAACAGAACATGCTCGGCAAACATAACATGCTCGGCAAACAGAACATGCTCGGCAAACAGAACATGTTTGGCTCGAACTCCAACATGTTCGAGTCAAAACACATGTGGAAGAGAAAGAGAGAGAGAGAGAGAGAGAGAGAGAGAGAGAGAGAGAGAGAGAGAGAGAGAGAGAGAGAGAGAGACACCGGCGCAGTGTGGATATGTGACATCACAGTCACGGACCCCGTCTCCCACCAGGATGAGTACGCTCGCAAGGCACCCGGGTGGGCGGCCAAGATGCAAGCGGATAGGAAGGAGACCAAGTATGCCGGGAGGAGCCCTTGGGTGGGCTTCTACGCCATGGCCTAGAGTTGAGCATGTGGCCCGACCCGGCCCGACCCGACCCGATTTGGCCGGGCCACACGGGCCCTCGGGTCGGGTCGGGTCGGGCCGACCTCGGGCCAGAATCTTGAAACAGTTGGCCCGACCCGGGCCTACTGACTCGGGTCAAAGGGGACCCGGGGTCGGGTCGGGCCGGGTCGGGCCAGGCAGACCCGCCCCCTTAGGGGAGGCTGGGGGTATTCATCACAATGTGCAACGAAACGTGTGGTTGCGGATTCCCCGTCACCGTGCAAGCGGCCGACGCGAACCCATGTGAAATCGTGCAGCGGTTGCCACTAAATGCGTCCACTACAACGGAAACGCCACGGATGTAGTGGGGTCGAAGGAAAGTAGAGGTTGCGCTTGAATCTTAGTACCCTAAAAACTACGAAATTGACCTGTGCGAAATGCACTACTAGTGCAGCCAGAATCGAATATCTACGAATGTAACTGTAAGTATGTGCATTCGTGGGGGAAAGCCTAAGATAGGAGGTAGTTTAAAGGAAGGTACTTAATACCCTAAGGCCACTAGCTGCTGGGGTGGCGAATGTAAATCGACGGGGAAAAAATCCCCTTCGATCGATTTACATTTGGGCTAGGGTTTCGGCCCTAGCCCTGTCGAAATCGGGTCGCGCACCTGGCCTGACCCGATTTCGACATTTTAGACCCGAAATCGGGTCGGGGCAGGCCCGACCCGTAGCCCGGCTCGGCCCGGCCCGAAATGGGCCCTCGGGTCGGGTCTTACCCCGGGTCGGGTCGGGTCGGCCAGTACGGGGCAGAGATTCAGAAACCTTGACCCGACCCGGGCGACCCGACCCGAGCGGGGCACCTGCTCAACTCTACCATGGCCGTGGAGATCTACGGGTACCCCTCAGCTGGAGTCCTCGGTTTCCTTCGCAGCTGCGCGGAGCTAGCGGCTAAGCGGCGGTTCAACGCCCCACCGAAGTCGAGGGAGGCGGCGAAACTACTCACCGAGTACCGCCAGCGCTGGAGCGTGACCCTGCAGAGAGCCCAAGCCAACGCCCTCAGAGACAAGACCCACGAGGCACTTACCGCGGATGTGCTTGGCCTGCAGGGTCCGTTCACTCCACTGAGCGAGGACCAGCTATACCAGTTGGTAGAAGACCCCTCCGGCCACTAGGGCCGGAGGGGGAGGGGGGAGGCGGTTTAGAGGTGACAGGATAGGGTTCGATATAGTCGCTTTGCTGCATGTGTTTGCTGACATACCTTGTTTGTACTGCGATGATATTAATACGAAGGACCGTTCGAGAGAGAGAGAGAGAGTGAGAGAGAGAGAGGCTACAGCTTCCTCGCCAGCTACACGCAGGCGCACCCTATGTTGGAAAAGTCGCGCCCAGCGTATTATACGCAAGCGTATATACGCTTGCGTATAATACGGGATGCGCTGAATGGGTGACTCAAGAATACGTGAAAAATACGCTGCCCGGGCAGGTAAAACTTTTTTCCGGTCAGGAGGCACTAGGAACCTCATTAGTCGCACTCGCAGGAGTGCCAGTGCCAGTAGGGGGCGTCATCGTAAAGCTGCGAGGTGATCGAGAGAAGTGGAGAAAGAGAATTGGACGACGTGACTGATGAGAATGTTTAGGGTTGGGAGGGACTTACCTTTCTGTCCTCGATGAGAGTTGAGGAAGGCTGGTTGGAGACATTCGTGTAGCTGAGTTGGAGTTGCGGGGTAACGGACGGTGCAATGCGGTTGATTTGAATGTCCCCTTGCCAAATTTGTGTGTTGGTGGGGTTGGCGAATTGCTCTGATGTGCGAAAAATTTGACGTCGCATTTGCAAAATTCGTGCGCACAATGTATGTCGCGACGCATTTTCCAATTTCGTGCGCGAACTTTTTCTTTTTCTTATTTAGCCGGGCAGCCCGGATTTTCCCGAACGAATGTATGTGCGTATTGCGTACAGCGTATATTCGTCTACGTATATACGCTGTACGCATGCCCAGGCTGGCGACTTTTCCAACATAGGGCGCACCTCCTGTTTGAGTCTCAGGAGGGCGAATGCACCGGCCCACTGGGAGCTGCACGCGAACTGATGCGCGGCCCCTACTCGCGGTCCTCCCCGCTCACCGAATGGCTAGCGGAATGCGAGGAGGAGCTCCCACTGCCGGCCCAAGAAGCCCTGCAGGCGGAGAGAACGGCGCCGACTGCAGGAAAACTACAGCACGGGCTGGCCACAGCCATTCAAGGCCAGCAGCGCTATGCAGTGCAGGTGGAGGAGGTACGGGGCATGAGCCCCAACCCCAACAATGGTCATACGCAGTGGCTGCTGTCCCTGTCAGGGTACGGGGCGGGGGATTGGTTAAACGCTGTGCCCCTCTACCCCTCGCTACGCCTCGAGGCTCCCCACTATGCCAACGCGCTCCAGTTCCGGCTTGGCCTCCCCTTCGCAGCTCCCGGGGTTTGCAACTGCTAAAAGAAAGTAGAGATCCCAGACAAACGCCTCCCAAATCATCTGTTACGGTGCGGCACAGGGGGGGGGCGCACAAACACACACAATGAACTTAGAGACGAATGCGCACAGATGGCGCGTGATGCTGGCTTCATGGTGCACGTCGAAACAGCCGCCTTCAGCCCAGTGGAGGAGAAGAAGGCGGATCTAGCCTTACGCTGTCGCTCTACCGGGGCCGTCTACATCTGTGATGTGACGGTAACCGACCCCATCAGCACCCGCGATGAGAATGCAACCAAAGGGCGAGGGTGGGCGGCACGGAAGGCGGCAGATAAGAAACACGGCCTTTACAAGGACCGCCAAGAGTGGGTGAAGTTTTTCCCACTCGCGGTCGAGACATATGGGTGCCCATGCCCCGAGACAGTTGACTTCCTAAAGCTGCTCGCTGAGACGGCTGCACGACGGTCTTTTAACGCCGAGCCATCTTCCTACCAAGCTGCCAAACTCTTACATCATTTCCGGCAGCGGTGGTCGGTGGCCCTACAAAGAGGGCAGTCGATTGGATATCTTGAAAAATGCAGCATTGCGGCAGCGGTAGAAAACCCGCTACTAGAGCGGGTGGGTGAGGCCCCATCCCTTGGGGACTACCTCTCGGTGCTTGATCCTGCACTGGATCTAGCTTAGAGGGTGCGGAGCCGACGAGTGGGTAGTTTGGGGATTATGCACTAGCCCTACAAACGTGATGCCCGTACCTTGCAAGCCTGTACACTTGGATAATCAATGAAAGGGCCATTCGAGAGAGAGAGAGAGAGAGTGAGAGAGAGAGAGAGAGAGAGAGAGAGAGAGAGAGAGAGAGAGAGAGAGAAAAAAAAATGTTGCCATTGGTGTGCTTCTATACGTTTTGATTACCCAAAACTCCTTGTTTTCTCACAGGTTTCCAAGTTCATGTGATTTTCTATCATTCATACATAGCATCGTGCTTAAGTAAGTGTTCCATACAGAAAAGAGAGTTGAGTAAGCCCGCCAATGTAACTGGGAATGGAGCCCGTCAAAGCGTTGCCTGAAAGAGACCTGTGTGCGCATGGTTAAGGTTTGGGTTGGAACATTTGAGGAGATGAGAATCGACGGCAGGGACTGAGGGACAGCAAGCAGACACGACCGACCCAATTGGGTGATGAGACGAGCACGGTGGGGGGTGGCACGATTAAAGGCGAACAAGAACTAGTTTGTCTCGAACTCACTCGAACGTTTGTATTACCTGAACAGAACAAGCTCGACCAAAGTTTTGCAAAAGTAGGCTTCGAGTGGACTGCACAATATCGAACACTAATGAGTTTGGTTCGAACACTATTTGCATTCCACTTAAATCCAACATAACATAACATAACGACATGACATAACATTCTATACTCACTATTTGCATTCTTGTTTGTTTTCTATTTGCATTCTGTGCAACCTTCCAACATAACATTCTATACTCACATGACCACATCACCTTCCCGCGGCCGTAGTTACGTACGTTAGTTGTTAAAATAACGGCCACAATTTGTGAAAAAAAATGCCGTATAAAAGGGTATTACAGAAAACGGTTGAATTTAGCCCTTTCTTGCATGTTTACCCTCAGGTCCACAGTTTAAAACATCTCCGTTCTGGTGGACAGAGTTCTTCAACAAAGTAACGATTTTTTACTATTTCAATTGTACTATAACGGCAGTAAAATACGACCATAAAAGAATACCATATTTTACTGAAACTGAACCCTTTTACCTTGGGCGAGCACCCATGAAAAACACGCGGCTCTGTTCGGGGCAAAAAGCTTTATGTTTGACTTAAACTGCCCGAACTGTTTCGACTCGCACACCAAGCTTGACAAATTTGTGGTTCTCGTCAAAACTGGGCTGGGAGGGGAAAGGTCAAAAAGAGGAATTGTGGGATATCCAGCCTTATGCATTCTGAAAACGCGAAAACCCCGCCTTTCTTGCTTGCGTGAGGCATCTAAATTATATGACCAAGGATATTCTCTCGAGTGTTTTATGGTTGAAGTGTGAATTTCTACCATGCATACTTAGCACCAGGCTCAAAGGACAAGCTTCATACAGATAAGTGAGCTCAAAAAGCGAGTCAATGCTTCTGGGAATGGATCCCGTCAAATTGGTGTTTGAAAGAGACCTGTGTGTGCGTGCGTTGTATGGGATGGGGCAGAACAAGCGAGGAGATGAGATTAGAGGGCATGGACTGAATGACAGCAAGCACACAAGGTCAACCCCATTGGCGGATGAGACGAGCATGGTGGGTGGGAGGTATGCATGCGCAAAAATCGAATTGCAGTTCAGTTGAAGATTCAAGTCGCAACCCAGTTCGACGAATTTATGATTCTCGTCCAACCTCAGCTGGGAAGGGTAGGGCCAGGAAGAGGAGTCGGGGTATGTTCAACCTGGCTTGGCTGTCCACGGTATGTATGGCCACATACGTTCTGATTACCCAAATCTCCTTTTGTTATTGCTTGCTTGTGGCATGTATGTATTTCCTCCTGCGGGTATAAGAGTTCATGTGTTCTTTGATCATGCATAATCAGAATCAGGCTTGAGCGAGGTGCTTCATACAGATAAAAGAGCTGATTAAGCCCGTAGATGTCACTGGGAATGGAGCCCATCAAACCGCTGTATGAAAGAGACCTGTGTGTGCACGGTAAAGGTGGGGCGGAATAAGTGAGCAAATGAGAATCGAGGGTATGGACTGAGGAACAACAAGCACACAGGGTTGACTCAAGTTCAATTGGATTGGGGGATGAGACGAGCATGGTGAGAAGTAGAAGGAGCAAAAGGCGAACTCAAAACCCGCTAGTTTTGAACTAACTTGATTGTTTGTATTACATGAACCGTACCAGTTCAATTTGAGTCAGAAACAATTGTTGCAGAAGTAGGTTTCGAGTGTTCGACTGTACAATTATACACTACAGTTTGGTTCGAATGCATTTGACCCGAACCCAAATGTGTTCAGATTTGAGTGACCATTCGTCATAGGTACATTCAACTTCACACATCCCTTGCTTTCCACTCAAATCCAGTTTCGCAAAACCCGTCCCTCCTCCTTGACATCAATTCCACATAACGTCCCGTGCTCACATCACCTTCCCCTTCCAATTCCCCACTAAGCTTGAGCAGGCGACTGTTCAATTCGGCTCGAATATGTCCGTATTTGATCGAACATGTCCGTGTTCGACATTGGCTGCAACATACACAGACAGATGTGTTCATCACGGGTGTTCCGCGACCAAAAACACTAGGTAGATGGGACATTTTGATCAAGCTCATTTTCTCAATCGTAGCCAATTTTCCTTCATAGGACCTAGTCTACCAGCACCAGTGTTTGTTTAGCTTACCTCTACTTTAGTTAAACAGGGTTGCACACACACATACTCCACATTTAACCTAGTTTAAAAGGCAGGTTAATAGTGTAGTCTAGGAAAGCTTCCAGCGGAAACCACAAGATTGCGACTGTAGGGCCGGCCCACACTCAAGCCGCCGTCCCTTATATTCAAACGTCTCACAAATCTCGGTCTTGTCCACGGCACTCTGCAGCTGTTTCTCACGGGTTTAGTGTTTAGGGTTAGCGGATATGGGCTAACGAAGCCGAGAATATGCCATCCCTGTTAGAAACTGAAGTGTTGGTATATTGAGACAGAAGATCAGTACAAATAGGGCATGAGGTGTGTGGCAAAAGTTAGGGTTGCCCCCTATCGTTCATGGCTCACTAATGTGGTGCTAAGTTGGAATATACGCGTTTCGCGTTTTGTACGCACACGTGCATACGCTAGAGTACAGTGCGCAATACGTCCAGAGAAGGCTTTGATATACGCTGGAAATACGGTCGTCCGGGCAGCTATGTTCGGAAAGACGCAGCTAGGACGCTGCGTCCTGCGTCCGGACGCTAGGACGCAGGACGCGCGTCCAGACGCAGGACGCACGTCGAAAAAATTTTCGGGCAGCCCGAAAAAAAAAATTCAATCGCGATTTTGACATTCGCGATTTCGACGCGAATGTCGAAATCGCGAAATACCCCCACCCCAAGCCCAAATCGCAATTCAAAACCAGCCCCCCTAACAACATTTCCCTAATTTTTGTACTTAATGTGTGTGTGACCACCATAAATGTGTGACGCGTGACCCACCTTAATCTTACATTTTGGGGAACAAATTTGTGGTTGGGGAAAATGTAGCCCGAAAAGTGTGGTACGTCCCCAACCCCCCCTCTCCCAAGCCCTGTACTACATTTTTTTTGCCTGCCCGGGGGTTTTTTTTTGCCCTGCCCGGGCTTGCGTCTTTTGATGCGTCTTACAGGTCCAGGTACAGCGTCCTGCGTCTGGACGCATGCGTCCAGACGCATGCGTCCAGGACGCAGGACGCGTCTTTCTGAACATAGCCGGGCAGGGGAAAAATTTTCCCGGGCAGAGTAAAAAAAGTTTCTGGAGAGTGGAGGGGGAGGGGGCACTTTACACCCATACCTCTGCCCTCCCCAGATTTTTTCCCATTAAATAACATGCGAAAGTGCCTGAACACCACGTGGTCGGTCTCGGGCTGAAACTCCAGCGCGGTAGACCCTCGGCGCTTGCATCCGTACCAGAGGTGCCACTCGCGGGAGTGGTGGAAGTTGGAGTAGACGTGGTAGCTGTGGCTAGAAAACGCTGAAAGTGGAGTACAAAAACTGAGAATGAAAATTGGGTGGAGAACGATCAACTTCTATAGCCGTGAGCACATTTGCTGGTGGGGACTGATGGGTTGGAAGTGAGAGAGATAAGCTGGGGTTGAATGCGGTAGGAACATGTGTAGCTTTCAAAATTTGAAAATTGGGAGGTCATTGGTGTCCGCGATGTGGGAACAATGTGGTGCGAACCGCGAAGTCGAAATTTCCAACTTTTTTTTTTCGCCCGGGCTGCCCGCCTTATATCGAAGCGTACATCTAGCATTTTGCGCTTTTGCGTGTATACGCTAGCGTACAAACGCAGTACGCATACAAACCCAAGAGTATTTTCCAACTTAGCTGTGGTAGGTGTCCAGCTCTATAATCGCGGTATTTACCATACATGCTTAGCACCTGGCTTAAGGAGAGGTGTTTCGTACAGATAAGAGAGTTGTGAAAGCCAGTAAATGGCAGTGGGAATAGATCCCATCAAAGCGGTGTTTGAAAGGTCCCTGTGTGTGCATGGTATGGGTTGGGTTGGGGCGGAATGAGCAAGAAGATGAGATTAAGAGCAAGGACCGAATGACAGCAAGCATGCACGGTCGACCCAATGGGCAGATGAGACAAGTAAATAACGAGTCGCAGTTCGGGTTGAAGGAAATACGTCAAGTAGCACACACCCAGTTTGACAACTTTGTGGTTCTTGTCGAACCTGGGCTGGGAAGGGGGTGGGGGCGGGAAGGGGTGCGGGATATTCGACCTGCATCAGCTGCAAATAGTGTGGACAGATACGATATTGCTTACTCAAAATTCCTTGCTTTCTTGCTTGCGTGGGGCATCGTGGTTATATGACTAAGGATATTTTCTCAACAGTTGTAGATTTCATCATGAAGTCTAGATATCCATAATGCCATTTTACGTCAACAATAAACTTATGATGAAGTGCTTTGATCTTGCATGTGTAGAACCGGGCTGAAACGGGGTGCTTCGTACAGATAATTGAGCTGAGAAAGCTCAGAGATGCTGTCGGGAATGGAGCCCTTCAAATTGTTATTTGCAAGAGACCTGTGTGGGCGTGGTATGGGTTGGGGCGGAAGAGGCAAGATGAGAATAATTTACGGGGACTGAGGGACAGCAAGCAAACAAGGAAGACCCAATTGGGAGATGCCACGAGCATGGTGGGAGGTAGGCATGAGCAAATAAACGAACACCTGTTCGGTTCGCCCCTTGCTCACCTCTAGAGGGAGGTAGGCATGAGCAATAAGGTCGCACTTCGCGACCTCGCGCGAGCTTTTTTCGCTCGTTTTGAGTTCTTCACTGCTGTGCGTATGGTAGGATACTGAAATCGTATGGTAGGGGATGAGGCGAGCTTTAATTGCCTCCGCCGAGCTTTTTAAAATGCTCGCCAAGTTTTGGTAAAGCTCGTCTGCTTTGACGAGTGACGTGGCTGAAAAAACTCGGGCGAGATTTGCTCGGCTCGCAGCAAAGCTTGCACGAGTCCGCCTCTGGAAAATGTCTAGAGAGGGGGAAAGCAAGATCATCCAATGCTGGTCAAGAGCTTCAACGACTGTATTTCAACCCTATAACTAAATAGAAGCAATCATCACTTAACAGCAGGGGTTACAGAGAATATGCATTGGGGGGCTGTGGCCCGAACTTGAAATGCAATCCGCCCTTCAACCCAGTCATCACCACGCATCATGCGAGCTTAGCCCCAGCCTTAAACGAGGAGCGCTATACAGATAAGCGAGCTGGCGAAGTGTGAATATCTTGCTCGGAATGGAGCCCGTCAAACGATTGTTAGAAAGAGACCTATGTGTGCGTGGTATGGGTTGGGTTGGGGGTGGAATAAGTGATGAGATGAGAACAGTGGGCATGGACTGAACGTGAACTAGCCTTGGGCATCTGACGCAGACGGGTCGGGTTATTTGACGTCGACCGGCCTACCCGTTCTAGTCTAGATCCAGTACCACTCTCTTGAGCTTTTTTAAGAATTCAAAAAAGTTATTTCATTATGTACCACTCTCTTGAGCTTTTTTGAGAATTCACAAAAGTGATTTCAATATGTACCACTCTCTTGAGCAAACTTTCCTTTCTAGTAGCACGTTTCTACAAACATGCATAAACTAAGAGGCTAGACATTAAGGCATCGAATCCTAGGGTCTGCAACAGGGCGCGAGGCCCACGCCAAAACAATCACGCCACCCCGTCTGCCACTCGCGCCTTATTGCAACTGGAAGTGCGCGCGGCATTGATAGGTGCGCGGCATTGATAGGTGCGCGGCATTGATAGGTGCGCGGCATTGATAGGTGCGCGGCATTGATAGGTGCGCGGCATTGATAGGTGCGCGGCATTGATAGGTGCGCGGCATTGATAGGTGCGCGGCATTGATAGGTGCGCGGCATTGATAGGTGCGCGGCATTGATAGGTGCGCGGCATTGATAGGTGCGCGGCATTGATAGGTGCGCGGCATTGATAGGTGCGCGGCATTGATAGGTGCGCGGCATTGATAGGTGCGCGCCATTGATAGGTGCGCGGCATTGATAGGTGCGCGGCATTGATAGGTGCGCGGCATTGATAGGTGCGCGCCATTGATAGGTGCGCGCCATTGATAGGTGCGCGCCATTGATAGGTGCGCGCCATTGATAGGTGCGCGGCATTGATAGGTGCGCGGCATTGATAGGTGCGCGGCATTGATAGGTGCGCAGCATTGATAGGTGCGCGGCATTGATAGGTGCGCGGCATTGATAGAGGCGCGGCATTGATAGGTGCGCGGCATTGATAGGTGCGCGGCATTGATAGGTGCGCGGCATTGATAGGTGCGCGCCATTGATAGGTGCGCGGCATTGATAGGTGCGCGCCATTGATAGGTGCGCGCCATTGATAGGTGCGCGCGCCACGCATCGTTGATGCTCGTACGGAGTTTCAGCAAATGTCGAACACGAACATGTTCATGCGTCCATTTGTCTGCTCAAGCTTAGATTGAGCGACAGCAAGCACTCACGTTTGACCCAATTGGGGGATGACACGATCATGCTGGGAGACAGGCATGAGTGATGCCCGAATCACACTTCGGTTCGAGGTAAACGGGCTCATGTTCGACTTTGATTGGCCAAACCAATACGATTTGAACACCCAGCTTGTCAAATTCGTGGTTCTCGTTGAACCAGTGCTGGGAGGGGGAGGGCCAGGAAGAGGAGTTGCTGGATATTCAGCCAGGCTTGGCTGGGATCGGTGTGATGTGGCCATATGCGTTTTTATCACTCGAAACTCCTTTCTGTCTTGTTTCGTTGCAATCTTTGATCGTGCATGCTTAGCAGCAGGCTCAAAGGAGGAGATTCATACAGATAAGAAAGCTGAGTAAGCGAGTAAATGCCCCTGGCAATGGATCCTGTCAAAGAGTTGTTCGAAAGATCCCTGTGTGTGCATGGTATGGGTTGGGGCGGAATAAGTGAGGAAAAGAGAATCGAGGGCATGGTCTGACCTGAGCGACAGCAAGCACACATGGGCGATCTAATTGGAGGGATGAGATAAGCATGGTGAGCCAGGCATGACCAAAACTGAATCGCAGTTCACTTCGAGGCAAATGATTCAAGTCGCACGGTCGCACACCCATTTTGGATTCTCTGGTTCTCTTCTCGTTGAATCCAGACCTGGGCTGGGAGGTGGGGAGCTACGAAGAGGAGCTGCGGGATATTCAGCCTGGCCTGGCTGCCAATGGCGTGGCCTTATACGTTTCGGTTAACCAAAACTCCTTGCTTCCTTCCTTGCAATCGGCATCTAGTCTAGGTTATGTGACTAAGGATATTCTCTCGAGGGTTTTAAGGTTCATGGCATCTTAGATCATGTTTTGTTTATCACCAGGCTGAAACGAGGTGGTTCATACAGAAAGGTGAGCTGAGAAAGCTCGGAGATGCTGTTGGGAATGGAGCCATTCAAATTGTTGTTTGTAAGAGACCTGTGTGTGTGGGGGAGGGGGGGAGTGGTTGGGGCGACAAACATAAAAAATGAGAATAGTGGGTATGGGCTGACGGACAGCAAGCACACACAAGCAACTCAAGAAGATGATTGTACGATCATGGTGGGAGGGAAGCTTTGTGTAGCACTCAGAGGAGGACAAGACATGAGAAGTGCGATAGTATGAGTGTGAGAGTATGAGTGTGAGAGTATGAGGAGTGTGAGAGTATGAGGAGTGTGAGAGTATGAGGAGTGCGAGAGTATGAGGAGTGCGAGAGTATGAGGAGTGCTAGAGTATGAGGAGTGCGAGAGTATGAGGAGTGCGAGAGTATGAGGAGTGCGAGAGTATGAGGAGTGCGAGAGTATGAGGAGTGCGAGAGTATGAGGAGTGCGAGAGTATGAGGAGTGCGAGAGTATGAGGAGTGCGAGAGTATGAGGAGTGCGAGAGTATGAGGAGTGCGAGAGTATGAGGAGTGCGAGAGTATGAGGAGTGCGAGAGTATGAGGAGTGCGAGAGTATGAGGAGTGAGAGAGTATGAGGGGCAAACGAAGGGTGAGGTCTGTGCGGACATTCAAATGGAAAAATAAGAATCTGAAGGGGAAAGGAGGATTGATTTCGAAAAGGGGAAAAAGTATGGGCGTTGGAATTTCATACCACTGAATTTCGTTGGATGCAACAACCGGCGTTCATATGTGGCTGCCATGTTGCATTTTCGTTGTTATCGTTTAACGATGTGCCCTTCTCTAGCTGTATATCATTATGCTTCATGGTTCCACTGTGAGGTTCTTCTTACAGATCAGATAGTGAAGTGAGAAAGGAGATGCTGTCCGGAATAGACCCATTGAGATTCTCAGTCAAAGATCTATGTGGGGTGGTGGGTGGGTTGAACAAAGGAAGAAGTTGAGAAAACTAGACAGAGACACGAGTTACAGGACAACTAAGGGAAGGCGCAAACCCCAACGCAGGCATCAATCAAAGCAAGCCTGCAGGACACCAGCACCATGTGACGGGTCCAATTAAAACTTGACAATGCATTATCAAACAACAATACATTATCAAACGACAATACATCATCACACACGTACATCTTTGATCATGCCGGCACCATCACACGCGTACATCTGTTTATTTTAATCATGCCTGCACCGTTGCAGGTGACCCCGGTAATCGCGTCGCAATAAGCACCCCTGGCTTTTGAGTCAACTCAAAGTCACCTCAGAACGATACACCACACGTACATCTGTGTATTCATGCCTGCACCGTCACACACGTACATCTGTGTAATCATGCCTGCACCGTCACACACGTACATCTGTGTAATCATGCCTGCACCGTCACACACGTACATCTGTGTAATCATGCCTGCACCGTCACACACGTATATCTGTGTAATCATGCCTGCACCGTCACAGATGACCCCGGTAATCTCGTCACAATAAGCACCCCTGGCCCAGCCTGGGAGCATCTGTCCCCATGCCTTCTGGCAGTCCTCAAGAAACACCGCTGACGGTTGGGGACAGGAGGGGAGAGAGAGAGACAGAGGCACAGACAAAGAAGAGTCCTAGGGTGAGCAAACAATAAGCACCCCTGGCCCACCCGGGAAGCATCTGTCTCCATGCCTTCTGGCAGTCCTCGAGAAACACCGCTGGCAGGGCAGTTGGGGGACCGGAGGAAAGAGAAGGAGCAAAAGAGAGAAAACACAGAAGGGGAAATGAGCATCAGTGGCAGATGAGTGTTGCCGTGGCGTCTTTCCCCATGTCTTATGGCAGTCCTCGAGAAACGTCGCTACGCTGGCAGTAAGTGGAAGGGAACGAGGGCAAAGACAACACAGGAGCGGCTTGGAACAACAGCTGCGGAGGAGCGGGAGGAGGCCTTCCCTGGGCGAGCAGAGCAGAGGCGGCCCTTCCCTGGCGAACACTAAGGGATGAATGAAAAACAAGCGGCCCAGACAACAGGAGTCGCCCTCCACTCGCCAACGGGTACAGGGCATGGCGGTCCGTGAGGGAGCGTTTGTGGTGGAACGAGGGGTGAGCGACCGCCGGACCTCTAAAGAGCACAAGCTGCGCCCTCTAGAGGGCACAAGCCGGACCTCTAGAGGGCACAAGCCGGACCTCTAGAGGGCACAAGCCGGACCTCTAGAGGGCACAAGCTGCGCCAGAGAATTCTAGAAGAGGAGGCAGCTGCCCCACCTTTGGCAGCACTGGCACTCTCAGCTGCCTAGAATCCCTGGAACAGAGGGTAATTCGGACGCCCCAGCAACGAGAGAGGGCGAGGGCACGGCAGGAAGGAATGTCCAACTGAATCGAGTTGACTTTTGAGTCGACTCAAAAGACAACTCGAGGGCAAGGCAGGAACAAATTTCCAACTGAATCCCAACCCAACCCCACGTCGAGCCGCGCCTGCGTGCCGGGTCGCAAGATTGACTCCCCACGCGACTCTTGGTTGGCCTCGCACCGCACCAGAAATTGTTCGCGAAAGTGGCCAGATGGGACCTGACCTGATGCCACTTTGATGCCACTTTGATGCCACTTTTCGACAGTCGCCAGCCACCACTGGCTCTGGCTCGCCATTCCCTGCGGTGCGGCCCGCGCTCACGTTGCGAAGCATTGCTTCCTGCCCTGTCCACTCATACACCATTCAACCCCTCACAGACTCTTCGGCAGCATGTCACCCACTCATATTTCTCACAAACCTTATCATCCCAACTTCCAGCACTCGCTTCCCTGATCTGATTGGCAGGCTACGACAACCAGAGGGCTTCAGTTCCGTCATGGGGACGGGAATACTCCATACCCGCCGCCCCGATTGATGACGCAACTCCCTCCACCGCCAAGACAGGCTGACGACGCCACTGGCATCCTCGTGAGAGCAGAGGGACTCGCTAAACAAGGACACCTCGCCCAGTCACTGCAGACCCTTCGAGTCGACTTAAATGGCATCTACGCGAGAGCAGAAAGACTCGCTAAACAAGGACACCTCGCCCAGTCAATGCAGACCCTCCAGGCCACCTCCTCCCCTTAGTGTGACTCACCTACCCCCCCCCCCCCCCCCCCCCCACATTCCACGAAGATGAATTCGGAGCTGCACCGCTACAGAGCGTGTTTTGAGTCGACTCAAAACATTCCACAACCATGCATTCGGAGCGTGCGTGCACGGGGTGCGGTAGGGGGACCAACGACCCCATGAAATGGGACTTTTGAGTCGATTCAAAAGCCACTGAGCATGCACGGGGTGCGGCAGGGGGACCAATGACCCCATGAAATGGGACTTTTGAGTCGACTCAAGAGCCACTGAGCGTGCACGGGGTGCGGCAGGGGGACCAATGACCCCATGAAATGGAGGTGACTTTTGAGTCGACTCAAAAGCCACTGAGCGTGCACGGGGTGCGGCAGGGGGACCAATGACCCCATACAGCCCTGGCACCGCCCCATACAGCCCTGGCACCGCCCCATACAGCCCTGGCACCGCCCCATACAGCCCTGGCACCGCCCCATACAGCCCTGGCACCGCCACATACAGCCCTGGCACCGCCCCATACAGCCCTGGCACCGCCCCATACAGCCCTGGCACCGCCCCATACAGCCCTGGCACCGCCCCAATGGACAGCCTGGGGGGAGCGCCTCTTCCACACGTTCCTGGAAGCAGCGAGCATTATGCTTACCTGGGAAGAGGCAGGCCCGCAGCGGCGCATAAGGAACCAAGCAGCACTCCCAGCGACCATCGGCAGAGTTGGCATGACAGACTTGACAAGCGCAGGCTCGCACGCCTACCTGGGTCATTGCCTCATCCCACCTGGAACGGCGCTCTTGCAAACCGCGGTTGCTTCCAAGCTACGCGCCTGCTACAATGGATACACAAGCAACGCTCTTTTGATGATGGGTCGCCGCTCCCTACCCATTCAAACGACCGGGTCCAACACTAGTGTACCTTGATTAGCCTCAAATTGGATAACTAAGAACCAGAGAAGTATTTCGTCGGGTAACACTACCTGGTGCTAAGCATTGGTGGAGGGAGGTACTACCTTGAGTAGCGTTGATCACCGCCACTGGTAAGGCATGGCACGGAGAGACACCAAAGGCAGCAAACCAAAGCGCGGCGGCGGAGAGTGCAAGCCATGCTCGCAGCTGCATTAGCGGCGCGGCTGAATTGTTCTGCTACTAGTACAAACTACAAGTTGTCCCGCAAGCAATGCGGCGGAAGAATTCTAGCCTAGGAAGGTGCCACGAAAGTTGCCTACACAGCTCTGAGCGGCTGCATCGGAAGCAGTGCCGCTGTGTCACTGCTATGGCGACTACGGCGACTCGGGAAACTTGCCCTAAATTTCCGTGCTTTTGAATGGCGAGGGTCTCGTGTAGCGTAGGCGCTCACTTATGTGCAGGTGTTGGTGAAATGTATATGTCTCGATTGCAGTACATTAAAGCTCAAGGCCCAAATTGCGGGCCGCCCTGAGCAAGATTACTAATCTTGCACAGCTGTTGTTTTGGTGCTGTGGTTTGGCGAATGTTGGGTTACGGTAGGTGCGAATGAATCTGATTGGTCGAGGCCAATCTCCCTGCAGAAACTTCAACTTTCAGTATTACACAATTTGGGACTCTCGGACCCAAACAGAATGTTTGCCTTGGTGTTTGCTGACTCAGCGATTGTTGCGAGAGCTCGTGCGAAATAAGTCAACCCCACCCTCCCAACACTTTCTTGACCAGCCCAAACCCTTGCGCAAGATTACTAACCTTGCGCAATTTGGGCCTTGAGCTTTAACTATTTGTAACAATTTGTTTGTTCTTTCAAATACCTTGTAGTAATGCTTTTGTTTGATCCATAAAAAAATGGGGTATCACCAGGGTCTTTATATCACTGTAAGTATTATCATATATTTTTAAATATAACAATTGAAAAATAACAGGGCGCTCATTTTGGAATATCCATGTATTCAAAATGATGCCTTTTTCCCAACAGTTTACAACTCACTCACCATAGAAGTGTTTAAACATACAAATCACCCATATTCTTTATCATCCGCATAGCATGCACGACGCGATGCCCGTTTTTTCTACGGGTTTTGGGTTCTGCAGGGACTGACTGGAGGCAGGGCTCGCTCTGCCAAACCTATTCCCCTAATCCCATTTCTGAGGGCGTGGTGCATCATGTGAAAAATGTGGTCCATTTTGTCGGGGGCTCGACAGAGGCTCGCAGAGCTCACTTGCAAGATTAGCAAACTCTGTTACGTAGCGCGCCTTGTTCACGAACTTACGCAATTTGGTCAACATTTTCGCAAAGTCGTGTTGCCTACATCAGATGCGTATTTCACATTCGGCTCGTTCGTGCAAAACTTAGACGCTTGACTCAGAGCTTGGCGACATTTTGTACGTTTTTTTCCCACATTTGTAGGGTTACTCGCTACGGGTCCAGATCTTCGACTCGATTGCATATGATGTACCACGCCCGAAATTAGACCAAGTCTTACCATCTTACTGTCTCCAGCAGCTTGCCCTAACACGGAACGGAAATGAGCCAGTTCTCCAATTTCCCTCAGCTTGCCGTGTTCTGAAGTCCGTTTGGTCTGCGAATGAATTTTGCACTGGTGTGCTCGCCTTTTCGTTGCATCTCATAGGGAGGGATTCCGCTTGCGTGAGTGACGATCAACAAAGATTATGATAGGAAGACCAGAAGTGCTTGCTTATGGCTGGCCCTTATGCTGTTATTTCGATCAGCTGACACGCAATGCATTGGAATTCCGTCAAAGAAGTTACCCGTCATTGCATCGATTTCCGCTGTTTCCTTCACCGCCACTCCCAGGCCATTTCGTTTCGGTTTTTCCTTCGTCCATTCGTGACAGTGCTCTCTGTTTCATTTCTTCCTGCGCATGACGATCCCGTAGGGACATCGGAGCTCTCATAAGGAGCACTGACCGATCCTATACACGGAATAAATGGGAATCTCTCTGATGCAGGAAACGTCGGCATTTTTTCTCATTCTCCACAAACTTTCACTTTTTTGCCCATTTCTCCTAGACTTGGAACCTGAGCTGGTATGAATCTGTCATCTTGCCATGTGTCGTTATGCGCATCTGGGCATTGTTGCCTGTCTATGTTTGTCACACCACTTTCCTGCATGTGATGATGCCGTAGGGACATCGGAACTCCCAAAGGAGTACTGACCGATCCAAAATACGGAACTAATGGGAATCTCTCTGATGCAGGAACCCACCTTAGCAATGTCATTGTATCTCTCCCACCTGACGAGTCCTAGCAAGTCTAAGCGTACGTTCTCCTTTGATGTGTTCCCCTTATCTCCCTTACCATGAACCCCTTTTTTTACTTGTCCTATCAAGGATATAATTACAATTGCATGGATGTAGATTTTTGCACAACTGCCTAGCTTATGTGGTTCGCGGTAAGTCCAGCACAGAGAGGGCTAAATATGCATTTTCTTCTTGTGCTGAACCCGACAATACATTAGTGTGCTGAACTAGTGTTAGCATGCAAGTGTCCCTTTCAACATTCAGTAACACGGCCTGAGTCTTTTACTGTTGGGATAGGCGCAATCTGCTCATGCAAGTTCCATTGTGGACACGATGCGCAAACTAGTTATGTTCCCGCACACTACGCACTTTAGGCACACCACATACTGCACACAGTTGTACCGTGTAACTCATAATGCATATATGCGCACAGCACGACTGAGATCTTGAGACTCGTATATGCATTTATGCTCGTCTCGTCACAGCACAACTACTCTTGTCAAAACCTTGAGACCAGACGGGATGACATTCGGATTGGCGGCGCGCGCAGTTCAGGCTCAGTCGCAGCGCGACCCGGTAGTTTCCAGTGCGGCCTTCACCGATCGACTGTGTCTGCTGATTAGCTTGATATGAAATATTGTACTGTGCGTAACAGCAAATAGGTTGCATATGAAGTGTACTAGGCTCAAAGCAGCCAGCTTTAGCCACGAGAGTCCTTCAAACCAGGTTCAGGGGAAAAATCAAGGAGCAGAGCTAGCAGAAGCTTGACGAGACGGTCAAGGCGCACGCTAGAAGAGTGAAACGCAGTCTCCATTACGCCGTCAGGTCACGGTGACGGAGCAACATGGCGGAGCGCGTGCTGAAAAAGCCAGTTGATGCGAGGAGACGGCGCGACGTAGCGTGAAAGAACGCGCGAAAGCGCATGTGTACGGTTGGGAGAACGCAATCTTTTGCTATAGTAGCCGGACTGTAGGCGGCGTGACTAGGTGGCGTGCCTTTAGAGGAGCCGTGACAGTAGGGGACTCGTGACCGAAGTGGAGCCGTGATTCTAGGGGTGGCGAGTGGAGAATCCCTGATTGTTTCCCAACAGCGAAGGAGCATGCATTGAAGGGGTTGGACAAGCCGACGCGCGCTGCAGAGGCGCACACCCGCTAACCTTTGAGTCAAGGCCACTTGTAAACTCACGAGTCTGTATCCCATTCAAGAATGTACCGCGCATTGAAGGGTTTGGAAAAGCTGACGAGCGCAGCCGAGGCGCATACCCGCTGACTTTCAAGCCAACCCCCATCTGTCTACTCACTGAGTCAGCATTGCGTCTCACCCAGCGATGTACCGCGGGTTGAAGGGGTTGGATAAGCTGACGATCGCAGCCGAGGCGCACACCCGCCGGTGGTCGCAGCAGCTGCGCGTGTGACGACGCGATCTGCCGCTCTAGTAGGAACCGTGACTGTAGGCGGCGTGACTGTAGGCGGCGTGCCTGTAGGGGAGCCTTTATTGTTGGGGCGGCGAGTGCAGAAGCGCCGTGATCGTATCCGAACCAGCAATGGACCGCGCGTTGAAGGGGCTGGATAAGCTGACGGTCGCAGCCGAGGCGCACACCCGCCGGTGGTCCCAGCAGCTGCTGCCGGACCTGCTCTCCCTGCTCTCATCCGCTGCTGCCATCCTCGATAGACTCCCTGTAAGCTCTTGATTCACGAGATGCTGCTTCATTGTAATGCATAATGGCTTATTACAGATGCTGCCTCGCTCTGCTCCCCATAGTTTCTGCCATCTCTGATAGACTCCCTGCAAACTTCTCCTCTCCTTCCTCTCCTCCCCCTATCTTCTTTCACTTCTCTTGGCTTGCAGGAGCTTCTCAGTCCACCTAACTACGAAGTGTAGCAGCTGGGCCCTCCCATGCTACTACCCTCTTCCACTCCTCCTCCATCCCTCCACCTCTGCAGCTCTTTCATACACACCACCTCCTTTCTCTCTCCTCCCTCTCCTCTCTTTTGCTTCCCTCAAATCGCAGGTGCTTCTCAGTCCAACCAACTACGGAGTGTTGCAGCTGGCTCCCCCCAAGCAACCCTCCGCATCCACCTCTCCTCCACTTGTGCACCTCCCGCTGCCCATACCGCCCCCCTCCACGGCATCTGGTGCCTCCTCTGCGCCTTCCCCTGTTGCTGCACCTCTAGCAACCACCGCCAAAACTGCCACCACCACCGCCGCCACCACCAGCAGCAGCGGCACTGCCACCAGCAGCAGCATCACCAGCAGCAGCAGCAGCAGCATCACCAGCAGCAGCAGCAGCAGCAGCAGCAGCATCACCAGTAGCAGCAGCATCACCGCCAGCAGCAGCACCACCAGCAGCAGCAGCACCACCACCACCACCAGCAGCAGTACCAGTAGCAGGAAGGAAGGGGAGCATGCGAGGGCGGTGGCAGCAGCAGTGACAGCGAGGCAGGTGGAGTCTCTGGAACGAATTCTGCGCTCTGCTGGTGACACTCTGTGAGTGGTTAGAACGAGGTGAGCTAGCTGACGTCAGAGTCGACTCAAAGGTCAACATACTGAGGAATTACTCGAAGAGCTTCAAAGGTCGACTCAGCCCAACACGTTTAAGTGGTTACAGCGAGGCTGGTGGAGTCTTTGGAATCGAATTCTGCGCTCTGCTGGTGAGAGTCTGGTGACAGTCTGCTAGGGAAGTGGAGTTTCTAGAAAGGATTCTGCACTCTGCTGCTGATAGCCTGTGAGTGTGAGTGGTGAGACACTCTGTGAGTGCTGCTGACACTTTGTCACTGTTGAGAACGAGGTAGATGTGACAACATAAGAGCACACTAAAGCTGTGACACTAAGGCAAGTGGATTCTGCACTCTGCTGCTGACACTCTGTGAGTGCTGCGAAGGAGGTGCATTA